CACAAATGGCTGAAGAACGAACAGCAAAACGAGCGTTTGTTGGCGAACGTTTCCCGCAATTCCACAAGAGATTTGTGTAACTGTTCTTGTATAGAATCTACAATCTGGGCGGTTTGTAGCGCAATTACACCCCTTAGCAACATATGATGTAAATAAATTATTCAAATTACTGATAAAATACTATATAATTGTACTTACTTTTTGCAAACATCTTCCAGATCACCAGCAACTATTCCACAACTGACATTTTGTATTCGTTCTAACAGCTTTACTTAAGTGATCGTAATGTTCTAATTGAATATTTAAGGCATTAACTGTTAAACAAATTCCTTCAGGCACATTATAATCGTTAGTTTTGTACGCTTCCTAAAAGAGCCAACGATGCTGCTTTACCATTTAACCACCAACCAGTGAACGCAGCGAGCCGCATGTTCTTTGAGATCTAATATAAGAGGTGGTAATGCTGGAATTATGGTCGTTGGCACCAGATGTCGTACACTAAATATCAATCAAATGTTTAAACTATAATTCAATGATTATTGTAGTTTCTTCTGCTTGAATAATGTTTTGCATGTGAATACCGAGGTGTATTGGGAACTGGGCACTCTCCTTGATATTGATACCATAACTGTGCAATTCCAACACCAGAAGATCCCCCTTGTTGGCAATTCAAGGGGACTATGACGCTTCCCATTCCCAAGGGCGGCCACAAAACGCGAGCTTGATCCCCAACTTGCAACTCAAGTGAGTTATTGAAATAAATTCCATCAACTATAAAATGCAATATGTTTGTTGATCTTAAAAACCTTTATAATGATAAAATAGTGATACTACGTACCACGAAAATTTTAAAGTATACTTTTTAGGTATAATTAGTTCTGTCTTCAGCAATATGAGGGTAGACTCAAATCACAATAGTCTACTGGATGAACTTCACCATTGGGCATTCTGACAATTCCGTATACGTAACTAAAACATGTAATGGACAATTGTAGTAAATAATGCCTCATAGAGAGTTTGAATTAAATTACGACATACTGTGTAAGTGCATGCAACGCGGAATTGGCTTCGACCAGAATATCCTTCCATCTCCAAAACTCCAACAAAGAAGCAGTTCGATGCATGTAAGATGCTTTGTGAGGTCCCCATCTTCTAGCTCTTACACCAGTGCAACGAAATGTCCTACCGAGTAAGAATCACTGGCCTCGAAAGTTCCACTTAAGCATCCGAACTGTCATATCCTCCAGTTGGATGTCTGGATCTATTAGATAATTCATGAACAAATTGAAAAAAAATGTAATAACAAGTAGCAAGTTTTTAGTTAATAAAAGCAGACATAGAACTTTCTCATTTTTGAAAGCTAGTATGTTTAATTGAAAAGTCTATTGCGTAATATAGTTTTTTGTAAATAATTTCAAATAAAAATAAATTTAAAAACGTACATCATGTTCAACCAGTTTCCATCTTTTCCAGGGTTCCCTAGCAATGGCATCAGCAATAGCTGAGGACTCCAGTCGTGCGGCCACGACATTGGCGTAGACGCGGCTGTCCATCTACATTATAAAATATTTACCATAATTAAATAATTTAGTGATCGTATATTAGTCATTTGTCAGTGTTTTATAGAAAATGTTGTCATACAATGAATTAATTAAATTTAAAATTTGCCCTCATCTTCAAAACTGCTGGACCTGCCTTTGCCACAAACTAATTACCACATCTTCCTGTCAATAGAAATCGAATGTTTTTTTAATCATTCGGTTGATCAATATTCTTGACGTTGTCGACGAAAAACTGTATCTACATACATCCACTTTTTCTAAGGTATGCCAGAACATTGAGAAGACCTTGAAACGTGAAGATATGCAAAAATTTTCATTTTGGATTTTTTTGCAATTACTATAACTAACCCTACGAAAAGTTAAAAACTGCACAACTTGTTCACAAATATCTCAGCAAAAAGCTTACTCACATGAAGTTGAAACGGACATGCACCACTTCCGAACTCTCGTCTCCCCAAAACTTTGCTTGTCCACTCTTAAAAGACCATTGAAAGTGACCCTCCATTTTCTATAGGGTTCCAATACACTCAGTCTGAGACCTCCAGCGCTCCAACCTCGCGAATTATTATTTGCAATCACGGTATCGGGATGATCTGAAATTATCATATAAAATAATCTAACAATAATTATATTTATAATAAATTGCTATTAACAACGAATGTTTGAACAAAACACAGTACATTTCTTAAATAAAATAATCATCGCAAAATAAAAAGCTGGTATTTCAGGATAACGTCAAGCTTGCTTCAGGTACGATATTAAATAATAAACTAACACCAAACTACCCACAAATACGGAAAAGGAAATAAGAAAAGCGCTGGTGAAATCTCACTTTTTGATCTATAATAAACTGTGTTTCACCTACAAATTCGCTATTTCTCTACAATTTTCTCAGACCCAAAAAGATATTGTACAAAATATTAGTAAATTATAGTAATGACTCATAATAAAAAAAACGTGCGCCAATTTTCAAAGTGTTTTTCATATAATTTAGAATTTCATATAATTTGCATGGCATCGTGCCTTAAGGCAAATTCCTAGAACTTTCCATAACATAATTGACATAACAATCAATGATATTTTTCAATAAGTAATTACAATTGTTTTATATATTTTCAAATAGATTATTTATCATAAATACTGTAAATTTGTAAGTGCTTATTAAATTGGGCGACGAACGTATTCTAAAAACAACTTATGCGGAAATTGGAAATCTTTGAAAATATTCTTTTTTTTTTTTTGAATTTCGTAATATTCTAAAATTTTTGTAAGAAATTGATTTTTAATTTAAATTTTGAAAATTATAAAAATTTTAATATTTTTTTGAATATCATGAAAAACTTCGAAATGTTAATTTTTTTGAAAATTTCGAATTTTTTTTTTTGAAAGTTTTTAAATTTAAGAAATTTTCTGTAAAAGCATTTTTTTCACACCGTCTACACAAGCAAAATGTTTGAATTAATCTAATCGGATGATCCTTTCTCTTAAAAACTACATAACCATTACATGTCTTCATACGGCTAGACGTGCCTTTTACAAAAACGCTTCGCGATCGAGCACGAACCGAATGCTTTTCAATCATTCAAATCGGTTATTCGATACTGTCGAAAATGTTGAGGTCATTTGTTTAAACCATATAAAGTAAACTTTAAAATTAAAAATCTTGGTAACACAAAAAGTATACACATTATTAAATTTCTATAAAACATCTGATAATTTGATGTGCATATATCTAGTGATCATTTTTGACCGGCAAATGGCATTTTTTCACCTTTTTGCTGGACCTGCTTTTCCAAAAATTTAAACAGTTCTTCGTTTAGTCAATCAATCAAAATTCAAATTCAAAAACTGAATCACCATTTTGGCTTTTTTGCCCCGTATCAGGCGTTTTTCAATAGGATTGTTAACGATATTAAAATAATTTAATATAGCTACTGTCCCGCAGGCCGACGCAATAAATAGAACCGTGCAGGTCATTTTTGACATGTAATATAAAATTGATCTATTGCAAAATTTCGGTTTTCGTTATATATCGACTAATTTTAAATATCTTATTGTGTTTCAAATTTATCAATCATTAATAATGTATATGTATAATATATAATGTATAAGTAAATTTTCTTAAATTTTCGTCGTTACTACTTGGCTTGGTAGACGTTACAACCAGACCCATACACGAGGTAAGTTGTAACATTGCACTTTTTTAGAAAATGAATAATTCTGAAATTAGGAATGGTTTTTTTACTTGATTCAGTGAAGAAATAGTTACAGCAAATATACATCTTTATTTCGTGGAAATATCAGTAATTCTAAAAATATATTAGTAAAAAAGGCCCTAGCTCCGCCAGAGGTTCACCAAACAAGCTTTAACACTAAATATATATAAAAAAGCATTAATATTTGTTCATATACTGACTTATTCATAAATAAAAATATACTCTAATATAAAATTAAATTTCAACATAAAACTATATAATAAACAATAATAAACGCAAGGTAATTGTATAAGAAAAATAAATGAAAAATCTTAATTAATAAATAAACTTCGAAATATGATAGTTAATTGATAGCAAAATGGTAATCAATTGAATATAATTACTAATGAATACAGAACATTTTCATTAGCAAATCTTGATTAGATAACACTAATGTATGCATATTTACTTTCAATAATCGAATTAGAATTATAGTTTTAAAAAAAGAAATGCCGATAAGCGATTGTTGTATAAATATATGAAAACAAAATAACATTATGGAAAAGTTATAAAATTAATCACCACAAAGAGATAAGATCGACGCTCGAAGAAAAAGGATTTCTCGTCTAAACAAAAAGTTTCATAATGATCGTAGGGGTCAGACAGTTGTAACGGCGGGTACGTGATGCAAGGCACGCGTCTCCTTCATGTCGGCGATAGCCCACTGATAAGCCTTCATTTCCGACTCGAATGGCAGATAGTAAATAATAAAAAAAAATATGAATGGGTTCACAATAAATCACGCACAAGATAATATTCAAAGTGGTATTCTAAATGTAACTACTAATCAGTGAGGGTAGCGCTAGAAATTATATAAATTCAACTTACTCTGCCTGATTCAACAAGAGATTTCATTTCTGCTCTATATGTAAATAAGCAAAAGGATTTAAACAGATCCTCACTTTTTAATTCGCTTTATTCTGCAGCTATTAAAAACCAGGTTGCAATAAAGATTTTTTTCAGTAAGCGAGCTAATTCAACCCATACCAATTGAAAATAAGCATAGTTAACACTTTGTTATGGTCATCGCATGGACAATATCCGCTTGACGACCTGTGATTTTTGCTTCAATATTTATTTATTTATTTGTTATTGTGGTTTTTAGATTTTTAGAATAGTAATTTTTAATTTTTAAATACATTTTATCGATATTGATTAAAGAATCTGAAACTATTTAGTGTATCGAGCAGCTTACTGGCTCGTAGAGCAGCGTCGCACCCGCTGAAAAGATTAATAGTGTAGGGCGGGGCACAAAGGTCCAACTTGACTCTGAGCAATCATATTGTGAAAACCAAACCGACTATATCACAATTCATAATACACATCAAGCAGACAACTATCTGACTATGTTCATTAAAACTCCCAACTAATTCATAATTGTAGTTTTTTTTTTGCTGTCTTTCAAAAACTTGTCACCTGGTCCTGTTTAGCTCATAGGCTGGGTTAAAAGGGACAGTCATCATGCAAACAGATACAATGTTATATTTTTAATTTTAAAGGAATTTTACGAAATAATAACTACATTTTTCAATCAATTGAAAATATAACTTTCATAGGTATATTTTTACAGAGATAACACGGTATAGCCCCTTGATCTAGTATTTATTTACCTTATATCTTGTAAACCTAATTTACTATTTTATGTACTATATTTTATTCTTTAATGGATTGGAGACTTATATATAATTATATCTTCAGCTATTCAAGTCATTGAATATTTTCATTTATTTTAGTTGTTTATTTCAAAGTTTATTCAAACAATTAATTTTTTTAAGTTTATTTAAAAAAAATAGCAGCAATTGACAGTTATTTCTTATGCAAGATAAATTTTGAAGAAAACGTTTCAAAATCGGTTAATGCAGTTTTGAGTATTAAGACCCATTCAAGTATATTCAAACATACATATAATTTTCTTCCAGAAATAAACAGAAATATCTGAATTGATAAAAACATCACACATTTCTTATTTTATCTTCATTCTAAAATATTTTCTTTAACCTAAAATTTGATCATGAGTTGATAATGCAAAACATATGTGTCAATATAAGATGCCTGATCGTCATTATGCCATATAAATAAATGTGTTTACTATAATTTAATGACGATTTAACAAAACGCTTATTTTTCTTGTCATGTTTATTATACGAATTAACAACTATCTATGTTTTGGTTGGCTAATCACTCAAGTCTAGACAATGTTTACCTCCTTCTCTTAAAAAATAGATTGTATCTATGAGCAGAAAAGAAGCGTAATACCAAATATTTCATAATAATGTTTATATATCACATTTTAATATAATGATTATCTATAAATAGATGATTTTTTTAAATTATAGAAAAATATGTCAACGATTATGCTTATATGTATGATTTGAATAATTTACAGGTAAAGGGTCATGATTATTTACATTTTTTTCAAAATTTATGAAAAACAATCAAAACTATTATTATACTCCCTCATGGAATTTCAATAAAAAGTCCCAAGTTCGATATCAAGCAGACTTCCCCGGGCAGTCTGATGTCAACCAGTAGCGACATCAGTTTGGAAATATAGATAGCAATGTGTTTCCAAACGAATACTGCTCTTACCAGGCGTCGCTCCATCAAAAAAATCATCAGCATTATGGAAGTTATAATAATAAAGTTTACCAAATAGAGATAGGACAATGTTTGGGCGGTCATTTATAAAAACTGACGTAGTTAGTTAAGTCAAATAATCACAACAGCTTAGAAAACTCTGAAGATCTAATCGCAGTAAAAATTAAATACTAACAATAAATGAAAATTCTGATAGGTTCCATGAATTGATGAGTTCTTTACAACCTGACATTATTAAAAGGAAACCAACTGGTTGTCCAGTCTCTTCTAATAGTAATTTATAATATATATAATTGTAATTATATTATATAATATTCAAAAATCTACTTTCAAGTGAGAATTGATATCAGAACTGCTCAATATCAATTTGTTCAGACAAGAATTGAAAGAACCATATTTTAATTTTATTAATGGATACAATTTCTGAAGGTAGGTCAGTCTGCTAATTATAAATTAAATAGCAATTCTATAAAGAAAGTTCAGTGCGGAAATTTTTGTTCTATTGGATGTACTGCATTCGAATTTATGCTGATTCATACATTTTATTTGCACAGCAGTGCCCGAAATTTTACAATTTACAAATGAAAAACTATTTTCATTTGAAAACATATTTCATCCATATTTGCAAGTGAAAATCAATATAACCATTGCAAGATATTAGGATACGCGCAATGCGAGTTTTAAACTTTTAGCTAAAATGTTCAAAATAATTTGAGTAAAACTATTTTCTTATTAATTAT